CGAAAATGGCGGCACTATGGAGGATCTTCGCTCAACTGTGAGTTTTCGCCCCATAGGAACGCATTAAACAGAGTTTAATGCGTTCCTATGGGGTTTTCCTATCCGTATAGCGCTGTTTCCGGATAGCGACGATTAATCCGGAACGGATTAACTTCGCTATGCGGGGCACCACTGTATCTGTTCCTTCTCTTTCTTCTTTCACTATCTCTCTGACTATCAGACTATCTCTCTGCAAATTCTATCTCTCTCTTATCTTTCTCTTATCCTATCTCTTCCTGCCAAACCTTTATATATATCTCCTGACTCTGCCCTTCCAATCCTCTCATAGGCTCATGCAAATGAGATCCTGACTGAGTGACAGGAGTGATGTGGGGCAATCTTCACACACCCCAAGACCCATTGGAAATGGGGGGAACCAAAATACAAACAACCCCCCACGTCCCATCACAGCACAGAAACATAACCCACCCAGCCCAAAACCATGCTGCAAAAACACCCAGAACAGTTTTTTAAAGGATAAAGCAGCACCTTACCTTATCAGACAGCATCCCCCAATCGCACACTCTCTAACTGCTGGGGCGAAAGAGCTACAAAGAAGCAGCCTCGTCACCACCTACAGTTAGAAATTTGAATTTCCCGCCATTTTTCCCTGCCTTTTTCTGTTTGTAGCTTGAAGATCCGGCCACAAGTCGAAGCAAAATTTTGTGGCCGGAGCTGGTCATAACTCAAAATGGTCGTAAGTAGGGATGTTCGTAAGGCAAGGCAGCTGGTCATAACTCAAAATGGTCTTAAGTAGGGATGTTCATAAGGCAAGGTACCACTGTATTTTATAAGCCAGTCACTAGAAATGTCAGAAGTGTAGTCAAAAGCAGCTTTCTTGGGAAATGATTAAATGTCACTATTTTCCTTTGTCTCTTTTTATTTTAATGCATTTCTATACTGAAGGACCATAATAAAGATATGTGTGGATTAGGAACTCAAAATGGTCTTAAGTAGGGATGTTCATAAGGCAAGGTACCACTGTATTTTATAAGCCAGTCACTAGAAATGTCAGAAGTGTAGTCAAAAGCAGCTTTCTTGGGAAATGATTAAATGTCACTATTTTCCTTTGTCTCTTTTTATTTTAATGCATTTCTATACTGAAGGACCATAATAAAGATATGTGTGGATTAGGAGTTCAGAGAAGTGTGGTGTGAAAGAGAGAGTTTAAGTAAATATTACTTTTTAACCCTTGTGTGGGGAAAAAAAACTGTAGAATTTTTTTTCTGATGTGGATAAGGTGCCAAATCATGGCAAAGCACATGCTTTGTATGTGAAAGGTCCCAGGATCTCAGTGAAAAGGACTGGATATCAAGTAATGGGAAGGTCTTTGAACTGGGATCCTGGAGATCAATTGCCTGTCAAAGCAAAGCATTCTAAGCTAGAGACACCAATGATCTGGTTCAGTATAAGGCACTTTCCTATCGATAAAAGTACGAGATACCCAGTCTCCTTTGTATCTTGTCACTGATATATACACAATGTTAATTTCTGGAATTCAAATGCATGAATTCAGTGCATCCAGCTTAGCTAGTGATCAATATAATGAAACTCTATAGTCCTTATTGAAGGAATTACACCACAGGAATAGTATAACCAAGAAATATTGTGCAAGGAAAGGCTACACAAAAGCAGTACTGCTGTTTTCCTTTCAAATACTAATTTTTACTTGTAGTTTAAAGCCAAAATTCTGAACTGTAACAACAAGTCTTGTGAAGTCATGTCCTTCATATTCAGCCATAAGCTTGTCACCCTTTTTTCCTGCAGGGCTTTTGTATATAACTAAACATAAATTCAGTAGGCAAAAATTTGTCTGACATGTTTTTTTCAGGCTAAAAATAATTACCTGCTCATCTGGTATAGAGGTAAAAGATCTCTATTTTTAAAGGTGTGGACAACATCTGTCTTCTTTATAGATCAGTCTTGAAAAGTTATTAGTCTAATATAGCTGATTCTGGTGCTGTTATTTCGTGGAGTTCAGGAGGTACTTGCTCATCTGGTATAGAGGTAAAAGATCTCTGTTTTTAAAAGGTGTGGACAACATCTTTATAGATTAGTCTTGAAAAGTTATTAGTCTAATATAGCTGATTCTGGTGCTGCTATTTTGTGGAGTTCAAGAGGATATATATATCAAATACTAACTGAAAGCCATTCCTTTATCCCATTCCTTTATCTATCCTTAGCTTGGACAACAAAAGTTCATCTTTGGGATACGAAGACTGCCTTACCATATTGTAGGAAACAGATGCACAAAGGGTTTTTGTAAATAAATTCACCCACTTCCCTAACCTTTACTTTTTGCTTCAGAAACGCCTCCTAATTTGAGGCACAAAAATCTGTGGAATGCTTGGCAAACAACTGTGGTGTTCAGTAAAAAAAATCCCTTGTGTAAGTCTGGAGGTTGTCTCTCTTTTATTTAGAAGTCATGGCAATTAACTATAAAGACAGATGTTGTCATTTAAATTTCTCTGGAAGTCAAATCTCCTTCGATAGCTACTCATCTCAACAACCCCAGATGTAAGATTACAGTTTTGACAAAGAAATTCTGCATAAATGTCAGAAATGCTTCTCTGGTATATTTGAAAGGCTCTAAAGTTGACCTATTTAATTTATTTGTGGTGGAAAGAAGACAGAATGCAATAATAATATTCTTTCTTTGAATATTTTTGGACAATCACAAATTAGGCAACTTGAAGTCAATCACTGTTTTGGAAAAATAGTTTGTCACTCCTGTTAAGGGCTGATTTGTGTAACAAAGGTGCAACTAGTGTTGTACCAATACAGTGATAGTATCTCTAAACCTGGAATGGGCAGTCTTTAGAGCTAGTGTCTGTTCACACCCTTTCCTGAACAATGGAAGGATGCCGTTATGAGATATTTTTAATGTGGGGGGGAGGAAAAATGTAGATTACTGTGCCTCCTTTAGTGTAGCCATTCTCATCTTTTTTCTGCCCTTGGTCATGAACACAGTATGGAAAAAAAATATAGGCTGAATCAGGATTTTGTAAGTCACACGACGAAGCTTATAAGGTGGTGTGTGAAGACTTGTTTCCTATCTGTGGCCCCCTCCAAATGTACCAGGGCCCCTCAGGGGGCCATATGCCCCCATTGAGAATGGATACTGTAGTGGCCCCAAAATATTGTTTTAAAACCAAGAGGAGGGCTCTCAAAATATAGCAAAGTTTTCTCATGGCCCCTAGAGGATACCAGGGAGTTTTTGGAACCTTTCTCACAGTAAAATATTTTAATTTTTTCTAGGTTTTTTTAATGTGTGGGTGGTGCAGGGGGGCCCACAAGAGCTAAAAGCTACATTTATATCCAAGGGAAGCACATGTAGCGCATGGGCTGTATACAGTCCACATTGATTTAACCCCTTGAAAAGGAAGTGTTTCTACCTTGAGGCCGTTCTTGGTGGCACTTGACATGTTGGCATTTCTATTTCAGGTGGAAGTAATATCTGCAAAGCACTATTATGTTAAAAAAAGTGCTTGGTGAAGATGCTTGAGCTACTTTGGAAACATTTCAGTCTGTCTGGCAGGTCACAACAGAGACTTTCTTGGTTTAAGGATTACAGGACTGTTTCCAAAGCTTGAAAATTTCCTTTGAAGTTTGTGTAAAGTATGTGTAGTAACCGTTGTAGTTTTTGTCCCCGTGTTTTTCAAGGTGGATGTCCAAATTGTGGAATGCTGTTATTGCTCCTCGAGTTCAAGAAGCAATTCTCTCCAGTGCTTCTTTGAAAAGACCTCATACACTGGGACAGATGGCAGTCAAGAAAAGTCCAAGCCAAGGGCAACAGGCTGTGGTGAAAGCTGCACTCAGCATCCTGTTAAATAAAGCTGTGCTGCACGGATGTCCTCTTCCCAGAACAGGTGAGATGCCATAAATGACTCAGTTTCTAGAACTGAAGTTCTGGAATGAAAATGAAGGATATAATCCAGCTGCTGTGGAGTGCATTCAAAACTCCCACCAAGAAGCATGCTTTCAAGGAATAGATTTGGTAACAATAAAAATAGCTCTGATGAACCCCATTTCCAGGGAGATTATGACAGGGTTGCTTGCCGCTCTGCCCACTGGGGAATTCATTCCTGATCAGAAGAACATGGACGTCTGTGAAATGCCCTTATAAACTAGAGTTTGATATTTTTTCCACCCAGTGGCATTCCAATAATGTTAAAACATCCAAAATCATATGGGTGTGTCCAGTTGCATGGATCCAGTTGCCATTTTTATTTTGGAAAGAGGTTTGCCTGCTGATGGGTGCTTACAAATTCTTAAATCTCTCCTTTTTCCTGCCTTCTCATCAAATGTTTAATGTAGAGGTGGGCCTGATCTGCCAAAATGGCAATTTGTGTCAGTTTGTTTCTTGACCGAACAGGAGTTCAGTGGTTCCGAGTTCCAGCGGGCACCTACTCAAAGGCAGCACCTGGAGGAGGTGAGGCAGAGAAGCCAGGGCTCTACCTCTGAAAGGACCACCAACCAGAGGAGGTGGGGCTGGAAAGCTGAGAAATGAACCAGCATGAATCACCAGTTCAATCATTTATGACCATTTCTAGTTTGATGTATATGCCTCTCTTTAGACAGTGGGCACTTTCTTCTCTGACCACTAGGGACAATCTCTATTTAATCAAATTCTGTCTCATTATTCTTTCTCTCTTCTTTCCTCCATTACTCTTTGTTGTCCTCTGGTGCATCCTGTGCCATTTCTGCCTCTTTATCTGTTATGTTGAGAAAACAAAACTAATTCTTTTCAACATTTAAGTCATTTCTGTTGTGGCAAAGAGGCAGCCCATTGCTGAAGCCAATATAATACTTTATTACCCAGTCTGTAAATCCATTCCATTAATTCTCAGAAGTCTTCTCACATTTCTTTGTGTAATTTAAAAGAAAAATTCTACGAGTTCCTGTTCTTCATGGGTATTTTTTTTTAAGTGTTGGTTTATGCTACTCTAGACACAGGTCTAGCACCTTCTGGGTTTCGGTATCAAATTATAGTACCCTCCCCCCGTGTTGACTTATCACAGTTTCAAACTTCCTTTATACTTGTTTGTTTGTTTATGTCCCATCTTTCTCTTGCCGCCTCACCAAAAAAAATTGCACTCAAGGCAGCACTTAATTAAAAGATAAGTGCAGTTAATAGAAAATGCATTATAAATATTAATATATACATAAAGCAGTTATATTGAAATTCATTGTCATTAAACACCATTTTAAAGCTTCTCAGTTAAAACTGTTATTTATTTTGTCTTCATTGTTTCAGAGCTGGATCAATATATAACTGATTTCAAAGGAGGCAGCTTCCCCCTCTCTGTGGTCTCCAACTACAAGAACTGTCCAAAGAAAAAAGGAGAGAACATTGCTTGGAGAAAAGTGAACACAAGTCCTCGTAAGAAATCAGGCCACTCATCGGCTCCATCATGGAACAAAAAAGAGGAAAATGTAGAAGGTAACAGCTGATGGAGGTGGAAGGTGCTGCAGACGAATATATGTTGAAAGCGTGGCAGAGAGGACCAGAAGATCCAATTTCAGTTCAATGTCCTGTTGCTTAATGAACGGACAATCCAGGTCTTTCTGTATTGATGATTCTACCACAGTCCGTCAAACAATATAAGAATGCATCTTTTTTAAAAAAAAAACTTCCCATGGTTCTCTGCAGAACCATGTTGGAATATATGTTTTAACAGATGGGACAGTAGTGATGATTCTCCATCTAACTGTGTGTGTCAATAATCACTATCCTTTTTTGTGTGTGTGCAGGTATCAAGTCAAAGAACATACTGCAGGAAAATGGCAACAAAATGGCTTCCCTAACCAAAAAGTAAGTTCCTTGGCAATGAGGAAACTGAAGAACTTATTTATTTATTTATTTGATTTTTATAGCGCCCATCTGGCTACCAAGGCCACTCCGGGCAGTTTGCAAATTCCACAACATCATAAACAACAATACGAAACAAATAATGGAATATCAAAATTAAGAACAAAATACAACAACTAGTAAAATAATTAAAGTAATAAAAAAACATGGCGGAGTGGTTGAAGATGTAATTGTTAAAATCACCCCTGTATTAAGATGTTCTAAAGTCTGGAAAGTCCTGTCTGAACAACCATGTTTTTAGTAGTCTCTTAAAAGTTCCCAGTGAAGGGGCCAGGCTAATGTTGGATGGGAGACTATTTCAGAGTTGTGGAGCAACCGCTGAGAAGGTTTTTAGTCATCACTTTCCAGGCCTCTCTCGGGGTCAAAACTGTCGGCCATCTGGCCTGGGAGGATCGTACAGGATGGGCAGATCTAGTCGGAAGGGAGGCGTTCTGCCAGGTAATAAGGTCCCAAACCATTTAGGGACTTACAGGTTAACACCATCACCTTGAAGCTGGCACAGAAACAGACAGGTAACCAGTGCAGAGCAGCCAGAATAGGGAAAACGTGTTTATGCCTCTTTACCCTGCTCAATAATCTGGCTGCCATGATTAGCCAAAATTAAAATTAAATAACTGAATTGTATTTCCAAAGTGCCCTGCTTTCATAGCTCCAAGCAGAGGAGGGGTCTGGTTCTGCAAAATCAGTAAAGCACGGTCTCTGTCCAAATCATGTGAAAACTCCAGCTCATTTGTATATGCCCTGCTTTTCAAGGAGGTTTCAGAAAAGTTTCATGGCCTCTTATATCATCAAAGAGCAAAAGTCGCATGTTTCACCTTACATTACTGTGAACAGATGCTATAGCCAAATGGTGTCTTATGCTGGACTAATATAGGGTGATGCCATGATGGTTGTAGATGGTTTGTGTGAATGCTCTAATGAACCTTTCTGTTTTCTTCACCAACTAAACTACAATGAAGAAATGGGTGTGTTTTTTTCCCTAAGGCTATATCTAGCCATTCATGACAAGATAAAAGAGTGTTTGTGTTGTTTAATTTTCAAGAAATCTAGAAGATGACCCACTATGTGTGTTAAATCTGGAGCAGAGACTATCACTTGGTTCTGATGAGGAGGTAGACCTTGTGCAGGAGCTTCAGAGTATTTGTTTAAGCAAATCAGAATCTGACATAAGCAAGGTAAATGCTGTTTACTCATATCCACAGTGTGATCAACCCTATCCTCTGTCATTTCTGCTTTGCACTTAAACACATTGCTGTTTTATCCCATTTTTAAGAAAACATGCCTTGGCCCATCTAGCCTTCAGAATACCACCCATTTACATTTCTGCCTACAATATTGTCCCAAAACCCCTGGAGTGCACTGTTTCCTTCTATTTCCTCATTTATCTCTACTCTGCAACATCTTTCTTGACTTCCCACAACCTGGGTTATTCCCTCTGCTTTCTACTGAAGCTACCCTTCAAATGACTGGTGATTTCCTCACACCTGTGCCCAAAATCAAGTGTTCTGTCTTCATCCTCCTCTTTGATCTCTCCACTGCCTTTGAATATTGATCAGTCTTTCCTGCTGGATTCCCTTCATCTCCTGGCTTCCATGATCTTTCAGCAAATTCTTCTTGTGTGACTAATATTTCATTCAGATTCACTCAACAGAGAGTATCTTTGTTTCTCCCTTTTGGAGGCTTCCCGTAATATAACTTTGACCCTCACTCCTGCACCAACACATCAGTTTCTTTCGCTTTCAGTGTCACCTGTGTGCTGCTGATTCCCAATCTTTATCTCAGAATGCTTTCTCCAATTTGAACTTCCACCTCCTTACTTCACATTTCTGCTCACATGTCCTTCATAGCTATTGATATCACCCTCCACTTTGTCAGTCAGGGTCTTCTTCGATTCCTCTGGTTTTGAGGATGTAATTTGTTTTCTTTTTTCTTTTTCTTTTTTTGCTTATGCTTTAAATCTGGCCCCAAACACTGTAAGGTACTGGGAAAATGTATAATGTATATTTTCCCTGTATGATACTGTGAAAAATAGTTAATCTTTTATGTCCAGTTAGCAAAAGAGCCATCACATTCATGCTGCGCTCATCTCCAAGGTGGATAATTGCAACCCACTCCTCTCTTTTCTTCAAATGCCTGGGAGCAGATCTATGCAGAACTTTGCAAGCCAAGTCCTCTTTGGCTTCTCAGATGTCATCTCCTCTGCTGAAAATCCCTACCCTGGTTGGGATCCTTGGTTTCAAAGGTTTTATATATATCCTCATTTCTCCACCTTTTATATGCCTACTTGTTACCCTTTGCTCTTCTTCCTTCCTTAAATGACTCCTTATTCACTCATACTGCCTCTAATGCATGGAATTCTTATGTTTTGTTTCTTTTCTTCAAGACTCTCTCTCCTAAAACCCATCTTTTTTCATGAAATCTTATTACCACTTATCAAAATTATGTGTAATTTGATATAACAGAATTGGATGTATATTAATTGCCTGTTGCCTTCCTATTTTATCCCCTGTATTGTCTCACCATAGGATTCCATACATAGCTCAGGACCCTGTCACTTGCTACAGCATGATGCACATTTTAATGATGATGATGGTGATGAGATTATGTTAGAATTGGGTCCTGCCTTCACACTGCAATCCACATCGTGTCACCTGTGTGTAACTCTTATATATACAAGGTCATCATGTAGAGAGACATTCATATGCAAGCTCTACATACTACAGCCATGAATGTCCAATGGATGTTGTTTGGTCATTCTGGATTGTGAAATAGAGCTGTGAGGCTTGGAAGCAGTTTCAGTTAGCCTTCTCATAGGGCCTAGGTGTGTGTTTCAGTGGAAACAAAGTTTTCAAATTAGTTTGTTTTCCTTACATTTATATCCTGACCTACGATGATTAAGGGATGTGGTGGCACTGTGGGCTAACCGCAGAAGCCTGTGCTGCAGGGTTAGAAGACCAGCAGTTGTAAGATCGAATCCACGCGACGGAGTGAGCTCCCGTTGCTTTGTCCCAGCTCCTTGCCAACCTAGCAGTTCAAAAGCATGTAAATGCAAGTAGATAAATAGGTACTACCTCGGTGGGAAGGTAAAACGGCGTTCCCTAGTCACGCTGGCCATGTGACAACGGAAACTGTCTTTAGACAAGCTCTAGCTCTACGGCTTGAAAAACGGGATGAGCACCACCCCCTAGAGTCGGACATGACTGGACTAAAAAATGTCAAGGGGGAACCTTTACTTTTACCTTTTACCATGATAAAGGAGCACTGAAGATGGCTTACAACCTTCGTAAAATAATAAATGCAAGCAAAAATGAAATGGAGCCATAAAATCTTTGAAACTAAATAAAACCAATCTCATTGTAACAGTCCTTAAAATCAACTAATGAATTTAATCATGTGCCATCCAGTGGGTTGTACTTAATGGCCACCCTTGCCAGGGTTTTCTAGGTATAAAGTACTCAGATGTAGTTTGCCATTCACTTCTTCTGGTGGTGCTGTAGGACTGTGCAGTTTGCCCAAAGCTACATAGGGTGGCCTTTCTCCTGGGACAGAGATGGGGAATCAAACCCCATCTGCATACAGATGCAGCTTCAAAAAGTTGTGTTTTTAAACTGTTCTTGAAAATAATAAGAGTGATAGCTCCAACCTTTGCGACAAATTTAAAAAGTGGATTACAAAGGCTTACGAAATAAAAAAAAATGATAAGTTTGAAGCATTAGATTGTGATGGAAGATGTATTACTGTTGATCAGTTGCATATTCAGCATTATTCATCTGTCTGGGAATTCTCAGGTGAAGCAAAAGTGAACTGATTTTTGCAGTTGTTAATGAGATACAATTTCTGTTATCTGTATCATTCCATTGTCACTGGAAATATAGGACTCTCTGCTTTAAAATGTGAAAACTTCCGGAACTGACCTTTCCTTGCCCTCCTTTCCCACCAAATCTTGCATAGATTGTTGATACAAAGGATGACCTGAGGAAGATGATCAGTACTTCTCAGAAGGATCCTGTGTTTTCAGAAAACATCATTAATGCAAATACGTCAGCATCGCAGCAGGTATATGACAAGCCAGATTGCCTGTAACAGAAAGATGTCAGGATACTTTCAAATCATCAGTCTAGAGTTGTTTATTAGACTGGAGACTATAAAGGCAATGCTAGGTACATTGAATGGGATTAGTGCATGATTGCTGAGGCTCTTCGTCTTGTATTGTCCTTGTAGCACTGAATAGTCAATGGTTCATCAACGAAGGGACAGAGCATCAGAGGCAAGGGTGAGATGGATGAAAGAGACTGAAGAAATGTCCCTAGCAAAAGCGCATGATGTTGGAGATAGGCCACAGAGAAAGAAAAGATACAGAGGGCACACACAGAGAGAGCGAAAGGATTTATCATTTGTGCAGGGGAGAAGAGGAAAAGGGAGAAAATGGAAAGGAAAAAGATGAAACATCTAATGGGATGCTGGTGGCTGCAGGGTGATTTAAGGGTTTCAGTTCAGAAAGAAATAAAAGGAGGAGCATCTTTTGCGGTCTTCTCAGGCCATTGATACTTCACACAAGAACATACATGAAGTGGGCATGCAAAGTCTGTGGTATCCCACACTCTCTGAGATACTTGAACTTTAGGTTAGCTAAGACCCAATGAAGTGAAACTTATGTCTTGTACGGGAGGGTACCCTAGATACACCTTTTTAGAAAGGCTTTAATTGCAGGTTTTGCAGTGCTCGTTTAAGTAACTTGAGGGACGTGGTGGTGCTGTGGGCTAAACCACAGAAGCCTGTGCTGCAGGGTCAGAAGACCAGCAGTTGTAAGATCGAATCCACGCGACAGAGTGAGCTCCCGTTGCTTTGTCCCAGCTCCTTGCCAACCTAGCAGTTCGAAAGCATGTAAATGCAAGTAGATAAATAGGTACCATCTCGGTGGGAAGGTAAAACGGCGTTCCCTAGTCACGCTGGCCATGTGACAATGGAAACTGTCTTTAGACAAGCTCTAGCTCTGCGGCTTGAAAAACAGGATGAGCGCCGCCCCCTAGAGTCGGACATGACTGGACTAAAAATGTCAAGGGGGAACCTTTACCTTTAGGTAACTTGACTCCAAAACATTCAGCACATTGAAGCTTAAAACACAAATACAGGTGTAACACCCAGTCCAATTTAGCAAATTGGAAACCTTATTCTGGACCAGTTGGCATTCCAAATCATTTTTAAAGACTATCTCATGTACAATATCTTGCAAATAATCTAAATGGGATCTTACAAGAATGTGACTCACAAGGCTATTTCTGTTCCAGAGATTGCTTATTATCATATACCTATTCATGATTTAATTGTAAGTGGGATAATGATGAGATACTTGCGCTGGGGAGGGCATTTAAACTAAACCTCAGGCCTTGGGGCAATTCCAAAAATAGCAAAAAGAAGAAATAAAACCGGGGTGGGGGGAGCCCATTCTGAGAGGAAAAAATGATTGAGAGACTCAGACTAGCCAATGCTATGAATGAGAAGATTTGGCTTTGGCCATTAATGAGCATGCCCAGATACACTGAGCCCTCCAGATGGCTGCAGTTGCCATGGAAACTGGAAAACACTGAGGAAGTGGCTGATTAAAATAGAACTGAGGAGGAGGGCTTGTTGGAGGTGACAATTAGAACTGCTAAGTTGCTGAAAAGCCTTTTTATTTTTTATTTTTTCTCTTTCTGCCTCCCTGAGACCCACCGCCTTCTACATATGTGATATAGAAAAGAGGGAGGTTTCCAGGAAGATCAGCCTAGCAACTGGAATTTGCTAAAAGATAAATTGGGGCAATTTTGAAACAACAGCATCTTTAAAAGACACACATTTTTCATTAAGTAAAAGGAATGTGTGTTAGGAATATAGGGAATTGGTTTATTTCTTCTTTATTTATTGACCAAATTCCTCTTATATAGTCAACAGTGGCATAATGCAAACTGTAACTCATGGAGGGGAATTGTTTCAAGTTAAGAAATCGCTGTAGACATTGGCTGAAATCCAGTAGTAAGATGCTCATTGAATTAGTGGGGTTTTGGTGAGTCATCTTCTTTGTAAGTTCAGTTGTTTGAATAGGCCTACTGTAGCTTCCTATTGAGTCATATGATCCAGTACACAACATAATTGTCTATGATGGTTTCTTAATATGAGGTAATTTGCTATCATGGCATTTGTGTTACACCAGCAAGAAGATTTTGGCTATTGGATTTATATCCTGGCTTTGTCCCCAAAACAGCAGAAAAGGTAATGCACAATAAGGAGTACAATTGGAACACAATGCAACTTTACATAGTAAAACACAATTCATTTGAAAATGCAATATAAATTAAAACAGTGTGGCCAGAAACTGATTATGCCTGCAAGCATATTTGCACTGGCATAAACTTTATCAGTGAATTTCCACTGGTTAAGAAATTGGCACAGGCATTTCCTATTGCACATCAGTCACACGAATACCAGCTCTGACTTCTTAATTTGAAGAAATTCATCAGTGAATTTACATTGGCACAAATATGCAGCCAGATTCTGGCCAATAGCAGGTACAATTTACACATAAAACAAATTCAGATTGTCATTTAAAAATAAAATGCAACAACTATCAATAAAGAAGATGCACCATCCATTTGATTAAAAAAAAAATTTCCAGTGGCCGAAAGCCTTCCTGAATCTAAAAGATTTTGCTGGTCATCAGGATAACAAAAAAATTGCATGCTCCCACTGGTCTCAACCAGTGCTAATAAATGCCTCAGAAATTTGCCCTCCCTTGATTTCAAAGCAGAGAACTGGAAGGGGGAAAAAGGGAGCACATTGACAACCAAAGGTGTGCTATACTATGTGTGTCATATATTTCAGCTTTCTGGATGTGTACACCTTTAGTATTTTTTTTTATATTCCTTTCAGTAAATAAGCGAATGAACATGGCCAAAGAATCTCTACATTCTTATATACAAATTGGGTTGAAGCCTCGGTACAGATAAAGCATTTTTAACTCCTCTTTTCCTGAGTCAGATTTTCAGAGGGATCATAGCTCCTTAGCACGCAGAAAGCCCCAGATCCACCCCAACATTGCACTAAAAGGAGATGATGAGAGAAATCATGGCCAGAATCCCTGGAGAGCCACTGACCATCACAATGGAGCCATATCACTCTGTCTACCTACCATCCTGAGTTTTAGTGGGTTGGCACAGAGCTGAAAATCTAAGAAAGGACTTGTTAACTGCCAGCAAGAAGCCACTGTACTTTGAAGCCCCAGATCCACCCCAACATTGCACTAAAAGGAGATGATGAGAGAAATCATGGCCAGAATCCCTGGAGAGCCACTGACCATCACAATGGAGCCATATCACTCTGTCTACCTACCATCCTGAGTTTTAGTGGGTTGGCACAGAGCTGAAAATCTAAGAAAGGACTTGTTAATTGCCAGCAAGAAGCCACTGTACCTTATGCCATTTGTCTTCCACAGTATACATTAAGTATACATTAGGATTTTGGCCTATATGAATTTTGCTGATAGCCACTTGCTACTACAATAAAGCTTATTACTGTTTAGATAAAAACTAATTCTAAAAGGAAAAGAACAGTGATGTATGCCACTTGAGAAATGTGCCTTGCCGCACATAGACATTCCCAGTTTTGAAAAAGAGGACAAATACGTTTACCTTGCCCAAACATTTTTGCCGCATTAGAGAAAAATCCCAGCAGTGTTTAAAAGCTTTCAACCTCCCCTGTGAAGGTCATGCATTTATTAGCAGGTTTCCGTCTCCAAATTAGAAAGCAGCAGGCTTTGTGAGAGTCAGAAATGCTAAAAGCAGATGGCTGTACTCAAAGATGCCCGGGGCTCTTCTGTCTTACTGCACAATGTACTTTTTGTAAATGTTAAGATGGAAAATGAGAGGAGGGCAGGCCATAAATTTTAAAATAGTAGCAGGTTTATTATCTTTATTGTTGCTAAGTCAATTTAGTCTAGAAAGACATTAAAACATCTGCTGTTTGTAGCCATTGGCTTTTTTCCTTTTTGTCCAAAAATAGCACTCTGAACAGGGCCAGGCCATACACTTTTGACTCATGGAACTGTAGGTCATGTTTTAATAATACATTATTGGGATGGTAGCAACCTGAGAAGATTTACTGCAGTCCCTCTGAGATCAATTTAATATGCAGATGTCTTTAGTTTTCAAGGTAGAGCTCATTTGCATGGTTTCAGAGTAACAGAGATTCTACAGCAGGCATTCAGGAGATTATATGTAGAGTTAGCAGTGGTGCTGTTTATACACATTTGTGGAGAATATAAAGTGAATTACATTGGTGGCAGATCTTCATATTTTGCTGTTAGTTTTGTTTAACAGACAAAAACAAGTTCATACTATTTCAGCACACTTTCAGTTATGTTCACTGAATTAAAACTAAACCTTCAGAATATATCACCTGTGATACATATGTATCTGTCACTCTAAAATGTAATATTTAATTCAGTAATAATAAATAGTTCCACAGTCTTCTGTATGATAACGCTACAAGTCTTGTACCCTTTCCTTACTAATGCCAAATTTACTTGCATTTTGATGGTGGACTAGAAAACTGCATCTATGATTCGACTATGATGACTATAACTTGATCTTTGTTCTGAGTTTGTTCCTTCTAATGATTGATTGCTCCTGATTTTATTACTTGTATTGCCACTTATTTGTTTCAATACACTTTATTGAATTTCATTCTTTTAATATGGCTACCCAATTTGGGATTTTATGAAGAGTGGGCTGGATAGATCAGATTAGATGAGATGTTTTCCTATCCAGAGTGATTACAACAGTGATAATGATACTAAGAAACATATTATGTTAAAATACATATAGTGAAGAGAAAAGGGAGAAAGTCTTAAAATAAAACTGACATACTATGAATTCTTTGTAGTTTATAACATGGTAGATGAGGGGAACTCTGGATCTGATCCTGCAGCACTTGCTTTCTGTTTTGAAGTCCACAACCCTAAACCTACCTAGATTGTGAAAAAAGCTCTACCCGACTCTGTGTGATTCGCTTCCAGGTGCTTTTTACATCCTGCCCTGTACATTATTAGCAGAAGGTGAATGCGACATCAAGAAACATTGGCTTCATGCTGCAAAGCAGGGCTTGCTGCTGTCTGTTATCCTCTCACACACAAAATAATATTTTACTCAGCACATCTCTCGCAGCTGGCAGCAGTAGCTTTGTGTAAATAGAGGGTTGTTGATCACAGAGTTTTGCTTCTGTTTTCTGTTTCATTTTATCAGGAATGGGTGCATTCATGCTATAAAATGCTTTTCTGTTAATAGGATGAGAATCCTGAGATCTGTCTTCTCAGCAGCAGTCAAGTCATGGAATGCAGCAACAGTAAAGCAAAAACTGAGTCTTTCAAGAGCGGTGCTTCAAGAGCAAAATCTTTTCTTCCTGTGCCCAAAAATAAAGTCAGCCAGTCTTCTCAAAACACCAAGCGAAGCAGCAGCAATACAAGGCGAATAGAGACAGTCAGTGACTCAAAAGAAGAAATTTGGAATGTGCACAAAAAAATACAGCTTGAAAAATATGCATAAATATAGCCGTCTACCATTCATCCCCCCTCCCCCAGTCTTTGCATAATTTGTTGTCTTGAAGAACAAATTCATTCCTAAATGTAAATATTTTTTTCCTCAAGTTATAATGTATCTATGGGACCACAGTTTAAATTCTATGTACATAAACTGTTTATAGTGAAAATATTAGATTATATTGAATTGACCTTTAGAAGTGGAACGTGATAGCTCCATGAATGATTTTCTAATTTGAAAATGTTTTATTGTTTTAATTATTTTCAGGGATGTCACCACAAAAAGTGTGTGTGTGTGCATATGCACACGTGTGTAAATAAATATAAATATAAAATATATTGGGCTTGATCCAGAGAGATCTCTGTACAGAAGAGTTAGCATCATGTGCAATGCTTCTGTGGTGATACATAATCTCCATGGAAAGAAGGTGTAGATAGATGATTTGAAAACATTGACTGGCTATCCACATTGGTCATGCCCGGGTGGCCGTTTCTGCATTTGCATCACCCTGCACACCCAGAGACTAATCTGCAGGCCAGCTGTGCTCATCTGTTTGGGGTTTCCATGCAGCAGGATCGTATGTCGATTTCTGCATGTGGAGAACTAAGCAGTAGATCTGCTTGTGTTTTCTGTGTATTATGGGATCCTGCTGGGTGTTGCTCATGTGAAAGTTATATTCTATGTGTGTAACATCCCTGCCACCTGCAGATCTGGGTTGCTGGACTGAGATAATAAACTTTATATAGTTCTATGCTGCGTTTCCTGTGTTATATTTCGTACATTGGATTGGACAATTCTATATAGCACTGGCTTAAAGCTAATATACATACCTTTACAAGGCAAAAAAAATACATTCTGTGTTCACTTTCTGAAAAGTGAATGGAACGTGGCAATAATTGGAAGAATTGGAACTAACTCCCCAGTTACTTTCAATCATGAACTGCATTAAATGCTTCAGTTGTACATATTATTCAGTAGTTGTGGGGGGTGTCCCCTCTTATCTTTTGTCATTTTGGTTTTGCATTCCAGCTTCTCTATGAATCGTGATTTGTGCAGACTGTTTTTTTCTAATTTTTTTTTAAAGAACTCCAGAGCCATCGTAATTATCAATCATTAGTTATTGTTACATGCCACTTTTTTGGGTGAAATTAAAAGTAAAATAACACCTCTAATTATATAAATTGTTGTATATGCTGTATAAGCCTTTCCCTTGTGTCCAGTATTAGCATATTATTGTATATGCTCTATATGCCTTCATTTTTGAAACACACTAGAGGTTTAGGGCATTTTACACTGAAACATCTGTAAGAGTAGCTCACAGCAGTGATCAGGACAAAGACGAAGAAGCAATAATCATTTAATATGCCCATGTGTGTATTCTGTCTAAAATAACATTTGAACTGCTATTCAAATGAAAAAAAGAATATTCTCTCATGCAACGTTTTCTTTTGTACCCTTTCAGTATTTATGGGGGAGGGGGGCACAGTTGACCCAAGTGCCCACCTGATCTTCTGTTTCAAGATGTCTTAATTGAGGACCTTTATGAAAGATTAAAGACAGATTCCTTAAGAATAGGTTTCATGGCTCATCTGGCAGATTACTGGGCGCTTGTTCTAATAGTGCTTTGGAGATATTCATCCCAACATATTTGCAAGTGAGTTTGTAAAAGTAAAGTCAGCAGTTCCATCATATGTTCTGGAATTTCACCTGTCATGCCAATAAAACCCTTTTATACTGCAAAAATGTTTGTATCTGTCCTGTGTCTGTAAATGTTCAACTTTATGTGTCTCCTTTATGTTAATTGTCCACAGAACCTGGCATACTGACCTCAGCTTCTTGCATGCATTTCTTTGTTTTAAATTAGAGGTGGGAACATTTGATCCCAAGGACCACATGCAGCAGGGGGTCAGGCACCACATTCCTCAGGAGCTGGCACCAGGCATGACTGGATCAGACATCTTTTCATTCCTCACCACCACTCTGCCCAAACACATAGCTTTCCCCCCACACACACACACACACACCACAGTTGCCATATATCACTGAAAGAGGACTAGGACGTAGAAGAAAAGGGTTAATCCTACCAGTAAGCATGTCTATATGACCATTACAAGGAAGAACATGTGTTATCTTCCACAAAATAATTGTGTGTTCCTCCCCACCACCACCCGTTTGCAGAAGTTCACAAGAGAGGTGGCAAAAATTGGCCACAGCCAGGGGAGATTGGACAGCAACACCCTTGAATATCCAAAGGTCTCTAGGGGATTTATGGATTGTATAACTATCTAAACCACAAGATTCAAGAAGGGTTTCTTCAGTCCTGCTTGTAGGGCAGAGGTTTCCATGTGGTTTTGCTCCCCATATTTCCCTGGCTGACAACTCCTAGTCATTTTGTGTTTTTACTACCCACTCATGTGTTTTCCACTCCATCCTCATCTTCCTCAGTCCTTTCCACAATGTTCCAGTTTTGTGACAAGAATGTTTCTAATTTCCTTACATGAGACCAATATTGTAATAAGAAGCAAACAGAGAAGAGTCACACTGTGGTGTAGGGCAATGGTCCCCAACCTTGGGCCTCCAGATGTTCTTGGACTACAACTCTCAGAAGCCTTCACCACCACCTCTGCTGGCCAGGATTTCTGGGAGTTGAAGTCCAAGAACATCTGGAGGCCCAAGGTTGGGGACCACTGGTATAGGGGATAGAGTGACAAAGGAGGATTCGGGAGGGCTTGAAATGAATCCCTGCTGAGCCATAGAAACTCGTTGGCAGGTGGGTGGCACTGATAACCTCACTCCTTCAATATTTCAAATACTTTGAAAATCCAATAGGCTTTTATAAGTCCAATGCAACCTAACAGCACACAACAACAGAGCATGGGTATTTCAGTCAGTGCAACACTATGTTATTTATTACATTTGTAAAGCAAGTTATAAAATAATACAATAAAACCCAACACTATAAATAGAAGTGCTACCATAAAATGTAAATACAAAAAAAAATGATTTTGCTAGCATGGAATTTGAACCTCTTTGGTAGCAGCTGCACCAAACATTTATATTACTCTGTAAATGATTATTTATTTGCCGGCTCTTTTTACAAAATCCTCAATCATGATGCAATTCATGCTTTCCAAGAACCTTGTCATGTAGCCCTAGTACTGATAAGCAGATGTCAGTTCTATTGGCCAGTGTCCTATCAAAGTACTGTACTACTGAGGAGAAAGTCTCGCCAGCACAGTAATGCGAGGCTGCACAGCTTGTGGCAGCATTACTGTTGAGCAAGGGGTGATCTCAATGAAGAACTCTCACCTTCCACTTATCAATGGCAATTCTGCAAGCCTTTTGATCCTGCCTGATTATGCTGGCAAGATCTATCAGGCACAGTAGGACATGCTCTGCTGAATTCACTGTAGGCTGCTGGAGTTTTCTTTGAAGCCTGGAGGAAGAGGTGTACCTTCCAAATTTGATCCCTTGACTACCCCACACTGATTACAGCCCCAAGTCTAGCAGGAGCAGAATTGGTCACTGTTGCATGGAATAAACATTTGAAGATTAGAAGGATGCTGGAAGTTGCCCTGGGAGTCTCAGCGTCCTTCATGGACTTACACGCTGCACAATTCCCACCACTTGTCTAGAGCTATGAGATCCCCTACTTCCTACTTCTGTGAACACCAACCTACTCATCATCACCCAGATCAATTAAATTCTTCAGTAGATATACATGTTTCTCATTTTATTCCAGCTTCAATGCTCAGTTTCCAAGAATGAAGTAAGATTTTTTTTTGTTTTGTTGATCCAGAATATATTCACTGTGGTTCTGCATTCCTCCTCTTTCATCACAGAGGAGAGCTTTTTTTTTGTACTTAACCTTTCTTTTCACCTGATTATGTGCCTGAATTTTTTTTTTAAAAAAAGCATATTAATTCATCAGCAAATTAGCAAGGACAAATGAGCAGCTGCACAAGAAGTGACTACAAATGCAGGTCTTGCATTTAGGAATTTGCTTTTAAAATCTGGGGCAAATGTTAGAGCAACAAAACCTTTTATTATGGTAGCTAACCTTCACTGAAGCTTAAGGCAATGTTATTGAAATTGCTATTGTTATTCAACACTGTGGCATCCCATGCATGGTGCTGAGGGGTTTTCTGTCAACTTTCAGGCTAAATGGTTGTTGTGGGTTTTTCCGGCTCTTTGGCCGTGTTCTGAAGGTTGTTCTTCCTGACTTTTCGCCAATCTCTGTGGCCAGCATCTTCAGAGGACAGGAGTCAGAACTCTGTCCAAGCTCTGTTGCTGTTTGTTGGACAGTTGAGTATTTATAGCTGTGGGAACAGCTTTTGACTTTTTTCAGGAGATAGGGTGATCAGCCTGTTTTTTGTTTTGATAAGGAGGGGGAGATTATCTGGTACTGTGATTGATGGGTGTCATTAACTGGTCTTTTTTGTGCAATGATCCCTGGTCCTTGTGGCTGGGGAGAGTTCATTGACCTTTTACAGGCTGTATTTTTCAATACTGGGAGCCGGGCCGCATTTAGTTTTAGGCCGCCTTCTTTTTTTTTTAAAGGAATATTCAGGCTAAATATTTAACATACTTCTTCATCCAATCTCAGTTCCTGGAGAAAAGGACCTGCTTTCTGCATAGCCCAGGTTGCTCATTAACCTGCAGTTTTCATGACTGAATTGTATCAGGGTCACTCTGAAAGAAGCTTTCATGTAGCAGTGCTTTCTCTTCAGCACTGCTTTGAAGATGAGCCTTAAGTGCCAGTTCAGCTAGTGCTGATTGTCAACAGCCCTTTCTAACTAAGAAGTATTCAGGGCACTAAAGTTTGGGAGAAACAAATTTATTTCTGATAGTGGGCCATCAACCTGCTCTAGAAAAGATGGACATTTGAAGAGAATTGCTCTCAGGGCATGACATTTTGCTGCCTGAGAGAAGAGCAAATACTGTTCCCTCCTCTCAAGTCCAGGTGGGCACAACTAACTGTGTAGTCCTATGCCTGCCTACTAAAAAACACAAAAGGATTCCCTTCCAGGTTAAATATTAACAGAACTACAGTCTATGCTTTTGGGGTTTGTTTTTTTTTAAAAAAATAATAATCCTTCACTTTCATTTTTCTTACAGTTTTTTATTTATGAGATCTTAATGCATCACTCATACCATGCAGTTTTTAATTGTGCATTTCATCTGGTGTTGATATTTGGTATGCCTACTATTACTGACCTGGTTCAGAGTGTGATTTGTTTCCTGATTTTTTATCTCAGGTTATGTTCTTAGAATTGTTACACAGGATGTTGTCCAATTACATACATGGTTCTGCTGTGGGAAGATTACTAATCACTTTGTCTCACCGTCAGAAATGTTTATGATGAACTCTATTCTGTTATAGCACTTGTCTTGTTTACTTTTTGTTCTTGCTTGAGTTCTGTTCCACAGTCACATTTGAAGTTTAAATCTCAGTCATCAAAATTCTTTTAAAGAAGATTCAGTTCTATGCAATTTCTCTCTCTCTCTCTCTCTCTCTCTCTCACACACACACACACACACACCACACCACACCACACCACACCACACCACACCACACCACACCTACCCCTATTCAGTTCTAGGCTAGATAACTTGTTCATGAGCTTATGTCGTCTGAGAATGTATACAAAGATGTGTTGGGAACTGCATCGATTTGTCAGAAAGCCTTTTTTGTGGAAATTATTTCCACAGCACTGCTGCACAAAACCACAGGAAAGTCCATGGTTGAATTGGGTAATTTGGAAGACTACTTACTTATTGAATTACAGTACACTGCTTTGGAACTAATATTACTTTCTATATTACTTTCTATAAATCTATGATATCTGAGATCTGTGAGTGGTCATCCCACCAGAATCCATGTTGATGCTACATTTGAACTATCATCAGCAGGTTCTCTGCCACTTGGAGAGAATGTAACAGGTAGATGCATACATTCAAACTTGTAGAAACTACTAGTGGCATATTGACCCAGCACAAACTTGTAGGGATGCTTCCAAATATCTCCACAACCAGTTTTTCTCTGGAATTCTTGTATTCTGAGTTCCCTGGCATTGTTTCTAAACTAGAACTTTACATGTGAGGGCCTAAGAAGAGGTATATCAGCTGGATCTTGCATCCTGCTTCCCATGTTGCCCAGACAGCCAACACAAGGAAAGCCTATGAACAAGACTATTTCTTGCTGTTATGCCTGGTAACTGTCATAGTCCTTAAAGCTGGAGTAGAGAGACAGGAAGCCCAGTCAGTCAATGAGCTTTGTTGAAATGAAGCTGCTTTTCCCCATGCTTTTTTCTGATCAGGTCCTGCTACCAGCAACTGTGAGTGACGGGAAACAAAGCCATCCCATTAGCTATCCCAATAGACCGGCTCCTGTGCCCAAACTGTTTCCTTCCCCACTGATATTTTTTTAAGACTTCAAGGAAAAAGGATGCCCAAGTGTGAAGAAATTCAAAAGAGCCCGTTTCCATCCTGGCTGGTCCTAACTGATGGAAGAGAGAGTGGTAACAACAGGACAATGTGGCTGTTCCCATGGGAATGCACCTGCATAATCTCAAACTAAATCAAGGGCAGGTTGGCCAGCCTCACTGAGGAAGCTTAGCTGCTATTAGTTTCAGTGCATTTTTTTCATGGGGACACATGTAAGAGCAATCGTATTCTAGGAAATTCTGAGAAAACTGAGATTGGCTTTGGATAACATCATTGTCGTTGAGAG